ATTTGGGGGCAGCAGCCTATAGATTTGGGGGGGCAGCAGCCTTTAGATTTGGGGGCAGCAGCCCATAGATTTGGGGGGCAGCAGCCCATAAATTAGGGGGCAGCAGCCCATAGATTTGGGGGGCAGCAGCCCATAGATTTGGGGGGGCAGCAGCCTATAGATATATAGAAATGAACAGGAAGGGTCAGCAAGGAGCTTGAAGGTAAAGCAGCACAAAGGTAAAGTAGAAGGAGCAGAAAGGGTCAGAAATGAGCTGGAAGGGGCAGAAGGAGCACAAACATAAAGTAGGAGAATGAGCAGGAAGGGCCTGCAAGGAGCAGGAAGGGCCTGCAAGGAGCAGGAAGGAGCACAAAGGGACAGCAAGGAGCACAAAGGTAAAGGAGCAGAAAGAATCAGAAGGAGCACAAAGGTAAAGTAGGAGAAAGAGCAGAAAGGGACAGCAAGGAGCACAAAGGTAAAGTAGAAAAGGGAGCAGAATGGGTCTGCAAGGAGCAGAAAGGGATCAGAAAGAAAGAGGAGCAGAAGGGCGCAAAATAAGCAGAAAGGTAAAAGAGCAGAAGGGGCCAAGGATAGAAAACAGTGTCAGAAGATAAAAAAAAGACTGTCAAATGAAGGAGAGGAAAAGGAGATTGGAGCAGGAAGGACAAATGAAGTGAACCTCCACTTTATTCTGGACACCACATCATAAGGCTTTGGTACCTGGGCCTGGCAGGGAAACGCTGGACCTTCTCATCTCCAAAGGTAAAAAAATATCAGTATTAATGTGTTCACTTTTATTTATTGAGTGTCAGGAAGCACAGAGTGCCGTTGGGTAGGGGTGTTGCTGATTGGCTAGAGCGGTCAGCTGGCACTCTAAGCCAATCAGTAGCTCCCCATTCATAAAAAAGTAAAAATATTTTATGAACCGGGAACTAACGATTGGCTTAGAGCGTCAACTGACCACTCTGGCCAATCAGCGGCACCCATGCCTGACGTCAATCTGCACTTCCTGACACTCTGTTTCAGAAGCCAAATACCACTGAGCGACCTGGAGCTGGAGGAAGCCTTTGGGGTTAAACCATTTGAGAGCGATTTAACCCCTTAAAGGAAAGCGAGCACCCAGGGGCTTCCTGGCATCATAGCATTTTCATTTAGGTGAAGTTGTTATGGTGACCAGAAATATCCTTTAATTTGCTTAAAGGAACACTATAGTGTCAGGAATACAAACCTATATTCCTGACACCATAGTTGTGAAAACGCTATTCACCCTGGCTTTATGTGATAATAGCTATGCCCCTTCCCTTTCATGACACTGTCAAAAAGGTACCAAGCATGGATGTCATTACAATTATGCCCCCCCCCCCCGGAAAAATTCCTGCGGACGCCCATGGTAATGTTACATGTATGCGTGTGTCACAGAGCTCCACACAATACAATTCACAGTAATGTTACATGTATGAGTGTATCACAGAGCTCCACACAATACAATTCACAGTAAAGTGCCATACATGTGACTGTGACACACAGCCCCTGCAGCATCTATGAGTGTATCACGGAGCTCCCCAACAATAAGACTCACAGTAATGTAAAATGTATTTAAGAATAACACAGAGCTCTATAGCAAAAACACTAACAGTATTGAGACATGTGTGTGCTTTAGCTTGATGTACGTCTGTGCAAGAGGTCCTTGAAGGATCCTACAAGGCCGTGGTGTCCTCTAAAGACCAACTCTCATGGTGAATGAGAAGAAGCCTGGCTCCCACAGCCATTGTTAACAAAATCTGAGACGAAATGCTCTCTTTTTGTCAGCTTTGCAGGGTCTCTACTTTCTCTCTGATTAATTCAATGAACTTCCAATGTAATCAATATGCATTTTTGATATTGTATCTTCATAAAAAAACATCAAAAGTCATATCACTATGACAATACTCTCTTTAATTTGTCAAGAAAAACAATTACATTTTTTTACTATGGGATTCAAAACAGATTGCAAGCTCTTCAGTGAAAATGATTAGCAACTACAGTATTTATTTTCTGTCACATTAGAATGTTTAATCAATTTGAGCAGACCATGACAATAATTGGATTTTTTCAGAATCATTGAAGAGAAACACAGACAGTTTCCAACTATGGCATAACAATAATGTTTCTTAATATAAAAAGTCCTGATGAATGAATTGTTTTTTTGTTTGAAGAACAAACTGGCCATTGCACCGAATCTGCCATTATAACTCATGTTAGGGGCTGGCACTGACAATGTCAGCTCTGTTTATAGTATTTAAACTGTAGAAGCTAAAATAAGTAGAAACAAGATATAACTCAGAAATATGGATTTTAATAAAAATTGAGCCAAAGATTTAGAGAGTACAAATTGTCTTTTACAGCCTGGTGCTATCGGACTTCACCTGACTATCTGGCGGTATCGCTTTGCCCAAATGTTGTCCAACAGTGATCCCGGTTTTTTGGCCAGAATTTGCCTCCACAACCTCTTTCTTAACTACAAACCCATTATCCAGATCAAAGTCCTGGAGTGGGATAAATTTAATGGGTTTTTCATCCCAAATCGTTCCCAGCCTCTTCTTCCAGCTTTCAAGGATGGCGACGCGGGCTTCGTGTGGGATGTGTGAAACGGCGTATGAGATCTCTGGTTCCAGTACTTGGAATCCGCAGAAACTAAAAATTCCATTCTGCAGAGAGTTGGGATATAAATAATAAAGCGTTATTAGATATTTTGTATCCCAGTGTACAGCTGTAAATTATATTGGTACTAGATCAATGGTAAAAATATTATTCTGCTTAAGAAAAAAAAAATATTTAAGTAAATAAAACATGTTCGATCCTTTATTTTAGGAGGAGAGAGGCTATCTTATTATTCTATTAGCAATAGGAAGAAGTAGGGAATCAGCAGTTTGGATTGAATGTAACCTCCCTGGAGAGAATATCCACAGCTCAGTACATTGCCACAGAAAGACAGGATACCGGTGAGCCCTAGTATTTACATAACACCCAAGTGTCCCTATATAGGAGGGACAGTCCCATTTTGGAACCAAATCTTTTCTATATTAATGTCACTCTTTTCTAGGAACTCAATATTTTTGGTGTGTCTGAGTGTATAACAGATCTCCACATCAATAATACTCCCAGCAATGTGTCTGAGTGTATAACCGAGCTCCACAGTAATAATACTCCCAGTAACGTGTCTGAGTGTATAACCGAGCTCCACAGTAATAATACTCCCAGTAATGTGTCTGAGTGTATAACAGAGCTCCACAGCAATAATACTCCCAGTACTGTGTCTGAGTGTATAACAGAGCTCCACAGCAATAATACTCCCAGTACTGTGTCTGAGTGTATAACAGAGCTCCACAGCAATAATACTCCCAGTAATGTGTCTGAGTGTATAACAGAGCTCCACAGTAATAATACTCCCAGCAATGTGTCTGAGTGTACAACAGAGCTCCAAGGCAATAATACTCCCAGTAATGTGTCTGAGTGTATAACAGAGCTCCACAGCAATAATACTCCCAGTAATGTGTCTGAGTGTACAACAGAGCTCCACAGCAATAATACTCCCAGTAATGTGTCTGAGTGTACAACAGAGCTCCACAGTAATAATACTCCCAGTAATGTGTCTGAGTGTATAACAGAGCTCCACAGCAATAATACTCCCAGTACTGTGTCTGAGTGTATAACAGAGCTCCACAGCAATAATACTCCCAGTAATGTGTCTGAGTGTATAACAGATCTCCACATCAATAATACTCCCAGCAATGTGTCTGAGTGTATAACAGAGCTCCACAGCAATAATACTCCCAGTACTGTGTCTGAGTGTATAACAGAGCTCCACAGCAATAATACTCCCAGTAATGTGTCTGAGTGTATAACAGAGCTCCACAGCAATAATACTCCCAGTAATGTGTCTGAGTGTATAACAGAGCTCCACAGCAATAATACTCCCAGTAATGTGTCTGAGTGTATAACAGAGCTCCACAGCAATAATACCCCCAGTAATGTGTGTGTGTGTATCACAGAGCTCTACAGCAATAATACTCCCAGTAATGTGTCTGAGTGTATGACGGAGATCCACAGCAATAATACACCCAGTAATGTGTCTGAGTGTAAAACGGAGCTCCACAGTAATAATACTCCCAGTAATGTGTCTGAGTGTATAACAGAGCTCCACAGCAATAATACTCCCAGTAATGTGTCTGAGTGAATAACAGAGCTGCACAGGAATAATACTCCCAGTAATGTGTCTGAGTGTATAACCGAGCCCCACATCAATAATACTCCCAGTAATGTGTCTGACTGTACAACAGAGCTCCACAGCAATAATACTCCCAGTAATGTGTCTGAGTGTATAACAGGGCTCCACAGCAATAATACTCCCAGTAATGTGTCTGAGTGTATAACAGAGCTGCACAGCGATAATACTCCCAGTAATGTGTCTGAGTGTATAACAGAGCTCCACATCAATAATACTCCCAGTAATGTGTCTGAGTGTATAACCGAGCTCCACAGTAATAATACTCCCAGTAATGTGTCTGAGTGTATAACCGAGCTCCACAGTAATAATACTCCCAGTAATGTGTCTGAGTGTATAACAGAGCTCCACAGCAATAATATTCCCAGTAATGTGTCTGAGTGGATAACAGAGCTGCACAGCAATAATACTCCCAGTAATGTGTCTGAGTGTATAACCGAGCCCCACATCAATAATACTCCCAGTAATGTGTCTGACTGTACAACAGAGCTCCACAGTAATAATACTCCCAGTAATGTGTCTGAGTGTATAACAGAGCTGCACAGCGATAATACTCCCAGTAATGTGTCTGAGTGTATAACAGAGCTCCACAGCAATAATACTCCCAGTAATGTGTCTGAATGTATAACAGAGCTCCACAGCAATAATACTCCCAGAAATATCTGTGTATAACAGAGCTCCCCACCAATTATACTCCCAGTAATGTGTCTGAGTGTATAACAGATCTCCACAGTAATAATACTCCCAGTAATGTGTCTGAGTGTATAACCGAGCTCCACAGCAATAATACTCCCAGTAATGTGTCTGAGTGTATAACAGAGCCCGACAGCAATATTACTCCCAGTAATGTGTCTGAGTGTATAACAGAGCTCCATAGCGATAATACTCCCAGTAATGTGTCTGAGTGTATACCAGAGCTCCACAGCAATAATACTCCCAGTAATGTGTCTGAGTGTATAACAGAGCTCCACAGCAATAATACTCCCAGTAATGTATCTGAGTGCATAACAGAGCTCCCCAGCAATAATACTCCCAGTAATGTGTCTGAGTGTATAACAGAGCTCCACAGCAATAATACTCCCAGTAATGTGTCTGATGTATAACAGAGCTCCACAGCAATAATACTCCCAGTAATGTGTCTGAGTGTATAACAGAGCTCCACAGCAATAATACTCCCAGTAATGTGTCTGAGTGTATAACAGAGCTCTACAATAATAATACTCCCAGTAATGTGTCTGAGTGTATAACAGAGCTCCACAGCAATAATACTCCCAGTAATGTGTCTGAGTGTATAACAGAGCTCCACAGCAATAATACTCCCAGTAATGTGTCTGAGTGTATAACAGAGCTCCACAGCAATAATACTCCCAGTAATGTGTCTGTGTGTATACTGATCTCACAGTAATAATATACAGTAATGTGTCTGAGTGTATAACAGAGCTCCCAGCAATAATACTCCCAGTAATGTGTCTGAGTGTATAACAGAGCTCCACAGCAATAATACTCCCAGTAATGTGTCTGAGTGTATAACAGAGCTCTACAATAATAATACTCCCAGTAATGTGTCTGAGTGTATAACAGAGCCACACAGCAATAATACTCCCAGTAATGTGTCTGAGTGTATAACAGAGCTGCACAGCAATATTACTCCCAGTAATGTGTCTGAGTGTATAACAGAGCTCCATAGCAATAATACTCCCAGTAATGTGTCTGAGTGTATACCAGAGCTCCACAGCAATAATACTCCCAGTAATGTGTCTGAGTGTATAACAGAGCTCCACAGCAATAATACTCCCAGTAATGTGTCTGAGTGTATAACAGAGCTCCACAGCAATAATACTCCCAGTAATGTGTCTGTTGTATAACAGAGCTCCACAGTAATAATACTCCCAGTAATGTGTCTGAGTGTATAACAGAGCTCCACAGCAATAATACTCCCAGTAATGTGTCTGAGTGTATAACAGAGCTCCACAGCAATAATACTCCCAGTAATGTGTCTGAGTGTATAACAGATCTCCACAGTAATAATACTCCCAGTAATGTGTCTGTGTGTATAACAGATCTCCACAGTAATAATACTCCCAGTATGTGTCTGAGTGTATAACAGAGCTCCACAGCAATAATACTCCCCAATGTGTGTCACAGGTGTATAACAAGAGCTCCCAGCAATAATACTCCAGTAATGTGTCTGAGTGTATAGCAAAGAGCTCTACAATAATACTCCCAGTAATGTGTCTGAGTGTATATAACAGAGCCACACAGCAATAATACTCCCAGTAATGTGTCTGAGTGTATAACAGAGCTGCACAGCAATATTACTCCCAGTAATGTGTCTGAGTGTATAACAGAGCTCCATAGCGATAATACTCCCAGTAATGTGTCTGAGTGTATACCAGAGCTCCACAGCAATAATACTCCCAGTAATGTGTCTGAGTGTATAACAGAACTCCACAGCAATATTACGCCCAGTAATGTGTCTGAGTGTATAACAGAGATCCACAGTAATAATACTCCCAGTAATATGTCTGAGTGTATAACGGAGCTCCCAGCAATAATACTCCCAGTAATGTGTCTGAGTGTACAACAGAACTCCACAGCAATAATACTCCCAGTAATGTGTCTGAGTGTATAACAGAGCTCCACAGCAATAATACTCCCAGTAATGTGTCTGAGTGTATAACAGAGCTCTACAATAATAATACTCCCAGTAATGTGTCTGAGTGTATAACAGAGCCACACAGCAATAATACTCCCAGTAATGTGTCTGAGTGTATAACAGAGCTGCACAGCGATAATACTCCCAGTAATGTGTCTGAGTGTATAACAGAGCTCCACAGCAATAATACTCCCAGTAATGTGTCTGAATGTATAACAGAGCTCCACAGCAATAATACTCCCAGAAATATCTGTGTATAACAGAGCTCCCCACCAATTATACTCCCAGTAATGTGTCTGAGTGTATAACAGATCTCCACAGTAATAATACTCCCAGTAATGTGTCTGAGTGTATAACCGAGCTCCACAGCAATAATACTCCCAGTAATGTGTCTGAGTGTATAACAGAGCCCGACAGCAATATTACTCCCAGTAATGTGTCTGAGTGTATACCAGAGCTCCACAGCAATAATACTCCCAGTAATGTGTCTGAGTGTATAACAGAGCTCCACAGCAATAATACTCCCAGTAATGTGTCTCAGTGTATATGGTTACGGTTGATTATATATTTCTTACCTGTTCTATGTTACATTTTGTATTTATTGTGTATTAATATTGTTTTTGTATTTTATTGTACCCTAATGTATCAATGCAATGTTTTGTGGACCCAGGACACACTTAAATACAAGATAAATACCAATGTATCTTTCCTGGTTAAATAGTTTATAAATAAATATAATTATACAATGAGCTGTAATAATACAACGAGCTGCAATAATACAATACTCTGTGATAATACAATGAGCTGTAATAATACAATACTCTGTAATAATAAGCTGTGGTGGTTATGGTGGTTGGAGTGTCTACTTCTTGTAAACAGCCAACATGTAACCCAAAAGCTGTTTTAAAACTACAACCCCCATAATCCTTTGACATTTTGTCTATGATCTGCTGTTTGGCATCATCTAATACCATGATCTGTGGCTAAAGTGAGCACATACCTGCATTGGCCATATATTCACATTGATGTCACCGTTCAACCCCTTGTTTGAGAACGTTGTGCCTGCAGCTCCGGTGGTAAATGACAATAGGGCTTTCTTATTCTGCGAAAATAAAGGTAATGTACGTCTGAGTAAAGTAGAAAACATACACACACAAAAATCACAGAATGCTAGCACAGTTTCCAACAATCTAAATAAGTAAAAAAAGAAATAATGCATCACTAAGCAGCAAGTTCAAACAAAAAGATGAAACATTGATAATAAATAGAAATGAAAGTATCTCGATAAATTCAGCAGAGTCCAACATAAAAGGAAATTATAGAATGAAAACAGGGCAATGAGATCAGATTTATTACGAATCTGTCAGAGTGGCCGTTTACTGAGACAGGTAAGAAGCGCTCTCAATCTTCCTTTTTGTTTAATGAATAATAATCCTCCAAATATCAAATGCACCTCTTCTAATCATTTGTTTAATTTTGTGGCTAAAAATAAATAAAGGATAGAAAATCCAAGGCAGGAACAAAAAGTGGAAGAATGAAGAGTGTGAAAATAAATAGTGTTTCCTATGTGAAGATATAACCGCTCGCAATTCTGTTTCCCAGGGAATTCCTAATTGTTTTTATAAGTTTTGTGAGCCATGGTTCAGCCAATCCTGATGTTCCTATTGATTCTATTTAAAGCATTGTATAAATGCCACAGCTCTCTATTAAAAGAAACCTCAGGTCATTTGTCAAACAAATAAATCAATAACGAGATCACTCATGGAGCGCGGTTTCCGTGTCATTGTATGATTGTATCCCGTTTTTATAGATCATAAACTTATTAAAAAGGTTTATTCACAAAAGTCCAAGTTTAAAAGTGAAATGCAAAATGTAGACCAAAATAACAGAAAAGAAACAGCTCGGCTATTTTGGCCTTAATTTTGAAATTCAGATTTTAGCTCACTACTACTTGGAGTTTGGTGAATAAGCCCCCCTCTGTTAACATTTATATCTCCCGCTCATTTCTGCAATTTAACAGCTTAGTTCTTCCAACAACTTACTCGAAACGGTCCATTGGTATATAGTGTCGTCAGGGTGTACGCAAAACCAACGCTGAAAACCCGGTCAACCCATCCTTTAATCAGGGCGGGCAGCCCGAACCAGTAGAGAGGAAACTGCGATAAAGACACAATAATAAATTGTATGATGCACACTGCATTGAGCACACACACAATATGAAATATTACAAATCTCTGCGTACACTGATGACATACCAATCAACACACAATACTAACACTTCAGGGATTTTGGAAAATTTTTGAGGGACATTTATCTCCATTTCCAAGTCATACTTAAATGAACATTATAGTGTCAGGAACACAAACATGTATTCCTAACCCTACAGTGGTAAAACCACCATCTAGCCCCCCTGGTACATCCTGGCCCCCCTAAATACAATAAAATCTTACCTTTATTCCAGTTTGCTAGTTCTGTCTCTGCCTCTGACCTGCCTCCTTGGCTGACATAATCAGAAGTGATGATCTCAGCCAATGACAATTCTTTCCCATAGGATTGGGATTTGGCTGAGGTTGTCAAGGAGGTGGGGCAGGGGACAGAGCCAAACACCATCCTGGTCAATCAGCATCTCCTTATAGAAATACATTAAATTATTATTATTTATTTTATTATTTATATAGCACCATCAGATTCTGTAGCACTGTACAATGGGAATCAATGCATCTCTATGAGGAAAGTGCAGTGTCTGTATGCAGAGGGTGGAGACACTGAATGTCAGTCACACTGTGCAGCACTGCCCCAGGAAGCACCTCTAGCAGCCATCTAAGAAATGGCCAGTGGGGGTGTCCCTAGGCTGTAATGTAAACACTGCACGTTCTCTGAAAAGACAGTGTTTACTGGAAAATAACTGAAGGGAATGATTCTACTCACCAAAACAAATACACCAAGCTCACCTTTATTGCAACCATGTATCTTGAACCTATGTTACTTGCATCACACTCTGATTGTTTTTGACTATATGATACTGAATGTACAGTTGATATTCAGGATTTACTTTTAAATGCACAATAAAACCTAATAAAAAATAACAAACAAAAACCCTACAACAAATACAATAAGCTGTAGTTGTTCCGCTGACTATATTATACTTTTTGTCTTAATGAGATGTGGACGGGGAGAGTCTCTCTCTCTTTCTCTAAATACCTGAAAGATCACCAAATCAGCAGCTTCAAGCTTTTTCTGCTCTTCGATAATATCTGGGGCGAGACGTCCCTCTTTGTAAGCAACCGCGGATTCCACGCCGTACTTAAATGCATCTGGATTTTGGGGATCTCCTGTAGAAACATTACAGAGACTCTTAGATTAGAATAATATTAGAAGATTAGCCCTGGCTGCTGTAGTGTTGGTAATGTTACTTTTCAATGGGTGGAAGTTACCAAACCCAGAGATCAGACTGCATCATGGAGCCCCTCTGTGCCCTCTTAATTAATTACCAATAATGTCATCTCGTGATAAGACTGGATTAAACTTCATGGCGTAAAGATCGGACACGGTGACCTGCCAGCCCTTCTTCTTCAGAGCTTCCACAGCTGCATCCTTCATGGCATAATTAAATGAGGTCTTCTCCTGGTGGGCCAAGACGATCAGCGCTCTCTTACCTGGAGGATAAAAAGACCAGTATATACAACTGTGAGAGAGGAAATTCTACAATTTATTATTGTGCATCACCTGCGTATCCAAAAATAAAGTCTACTGCTGACACCAGAACTGCCCCACGCACATTACACAAGTCAGCACGCACACAAACACATTATACACAGCTTGCACACATATTACACAAGTCAGCCTGCACACAAACACATTACACACAGCTTGCACTCATATTACACAAGTCAGCACGCACACAAACGCATTACACAAAGCACGCACATACACACAGCTTGCACACACATTACACAAAGTCTGCACACACACACTATACACACAACTTGCACACACATTACACAAAGCACGCACACACACACACATTACACACAGCTTGTACACACATTACACAAAGCACGCACACACACACATTACACACAGCTTGCACACACACACATTACACAAAGCACGCACACACACACATTACACACAGCTAACACACACACAAAAGCACACACATACACACAGCTTGCACACACACACACACATTACACACAGCTTGCACACATATTACACAAAGCACGCACACACATTATACACAGCTTGCACACATTACACACAGCTTGCACACACATTACACAAAGCACGCACATGCACACATTACACACAGCTTGCACACACATTACACAAAGCACGCACATACACACATTACACACAGCTTGCACACACATTACACAAAGCACGCACATACACACATTACACACAGCTTGCACACACATTACACAAAGCACGCACACACACACATTACACACAGCTTGCACACACATTACACAAAGCACGCACATACACACATTACACACAGCTTGCACACACATTACACAAAGCACGCACACAAACGCATTACACAAAGCACGCACATACACACAGCTTGCACACACATTACACAAAGCACGCACATACACACATTACACACAGCTTGCACACACATTACACAAAGCACGCACACACACACACACAGCTTGCACACACATTACACAAAGCACGACACACACACACACAGCTTGCACACACATTACACAAAGCACACATACACATTACACATTATTACACAAAGCACGCACACACACACATTACACACAGCTTGCACACACATTACACAAAGCACGCACACACACACATTACACACAGCTTGCACGCACATTACACAAAGCACGCACATACACACATTACACAAAGCACACACACACATTACACACAGCTTGAACACACATTACACAAAGCACGCACATACACACAGCTTGCACACACATTACACAAAGCATGCACATACACACATTACACACAGCTTGCACACACATTACACAAAGCACGCACACACACACATTACACACAGCCTGCACATTTTACACATCCCCACACACTATAAAGGGAGCAGATGGAGCGTTTATGAAGGGCAGAAGGTGAGACACCTGGGGTTTATTCACTAAACTCCAATATTATATATATATATATATATTTATATATGTTCTATATGGTTTGATATTTTGAAAAAGTCATTTTAAAAAATGTTTATCCAAAAATACCTGGAGGCGAATACCTGGAGGCGAAAGGTTGTAACTAAAGCTGCACTGGGGCATTTTTCCAAATAAGACTTTTTTTTAATGTTGTTTTTCCATTTCGATTTAATTTGGAAAAATGGAATACATTTATTGAATAACACCATTCTATGTCCAGGACTCTTAGCGGAGCCCCAAACTGGAATTACTTTGTGTGTGGACAAGTAGATCGCCATGACAGACGGGTATATTGACCAGTAGATTTCTTTTTTTCATTTCCACACCTGCTGTTTACTAACGCCTACTCCATCCCATCCCACTGTGTATAGGACACAGCATAGACTGGTAAATGAATATGGCATACTGTCTACTGAGGTCAAAGTTCCGGGTAATAGTTGTGCTTTGTGTAGTCCGCAGTCCATTCACCAATAACCCACGTGTTATTAGAAGAACGCGGACCGTACAATAAGCATAGTCTGACGTCAAAGTCATTTTTCATTCACTGCACTAGATTAGCACAAATTATTGTGGGAAGCTGTAAACATGTAAAATGCAGTTCGCATTGCAAATTGGAACATGAACCAAAAGACACATTCTAAAAAATCAACAGAAAGGTTTTTCTAAAAATGAATATATATAATAAAATCACTAGATATGTGCTATTGTCTTGCCGTTTATACAGTTTCTTCATATTGCAAATAGCCATTTCTCCACATGTCTCAGGTTAAATGATAAATCCCAGTGTGACGGTATGCAATGTCTATCAGTGTCATTATTAGCAACCCCATCACAGCCAGCTTCCCACTTCATAACCCGTCAGCCTTGCTTGTACTCCAGAGACCCCTTTACATTGCTATTCAATAAGGAATTCGCTATGAAGAAACTGATTGATTACTATCCTGCTTGTATGAGGGACATGTGAAAGCAGATACGGGATAAAATCACAGCAGAGGAACTCACACAGTGATATTTAAAGTAAAAGTTTAATACACACACTGGTTTTTTTTATAACAAAGTATCAATGTCTTCCTTTCTATTTAATATAGAAAATTATTTTGATGGTAATTATAATTTTACGTATTTATATAATTTTGTGACTGTAATCAATGGTAAAACCATCAGGAAAAAATTAAAATGTGTTGGAAAGAGATAATACTGAAAAGGGGGTCAGAAATATACAGAATAATGGTGCCGACAACACTTTTTATAGCACCATAATATTTGCAGTGTTTGTACAACTATGACCCACATCAATTTTTTATTGGACTACAATCCTCAACAGCCGGCAGAGAATGCTTGGAGTTGTGCTCCAGAATCAGTTTGACAAGAAGTGATCACCCATGGGCAACATGCAACAAAACCTGTTACCATGGAAACTCTCCAAACAATCTCTCATAGACAGATATTACGTGTGAGGTGTTGAGTTTAGCACTGAAACCATTACAGGGACACTCCACGGCCCAAATACAAACAATAAATGAATAAGAATTATTATTTAGCAGATATATTTTCATTAAAAACTTGAAACAACCTCGTCAGGGCATGAACATTGGGGACTTATCGAAACAGGCCCTGAGTGCCCCGGGCCCCAACATGGCGTCCCTACACGGAGGCTGCTCCGACTTTGAGGATGGAACCTCGGACGAAGCAGAGGGGGAGAATGTGGCAGAACTGCGGAGGCCCTCGACGGCACCGCTGAAACCTACACCGCCCGCGGCGGCCTCCACGCCGGTCACAATGGAAGCAATCGACAGGCTCATGGAAGACCACCATCAAAAAATCTCGGCAGAGGTGGCTGCAATCCGAGACGACTTACGCGGCCTATCTGGCAGATTGGGTGTGATAGAAAACTGCTCCGACTCACAGGCAACCCATCTCAAGGAGCTGCAACGGGCGGTTTCAGAACTTCAGCGACAAAACCTCCTCACGGAACGACAGCTCGACGCCCAGGAAGATAGACGGCGCCAAAACAACCTAAAAGTGCGGGGAGTGGCAGAAAACATCTCGGATGCCGAGCTACCACACTTCACCAGGCTGCTGATAGCTGCACTCCTAAACCCCAAAGCGGCCAAAGCGACCCAAATAACTGGTATATTCCGCATACCGAAATCGAGCAAAGCACCAACTTCAGCTCCTGGAGACCTGATTCTTCAGTTCGTCAGCCGCACAGACAAAATGGCGGTACAAGCAGCTGCCAGAGGCTGACCTACCTACCTCTTTGAAGAGATGGAGCTTTCCATCTATACCGACCTCTCGGGAGGAACGCTGGCATGGAGGAGAACACTAAGACCGTTTACCACCCTACTACACACACACCAGCTCCGGTACCGATGGGGCCCAGCCAACACACTACACGTCACCAAAGGTGAAACAACGTATGTCATACATGACATGCAAGAAGCCACAGCGGCAATGAGAGCCTTAGATCTCCCCCTGGACTCCCTCGGAAGAGCGTTACCTGCAACCTCTCGAGGCCTTGACCCGGTACACTCCACAGAATTCAAGCCCAGACAGAGAGCCACGGAGGCTTACGCGGCAGCCACGACTTGAGCCCGACAGGCCCTTCACCAGGACGCTATTTTTCTCCCCCAACCCCGGCTCACAAGCTCAGCACACAGAGCCGGCATCGGCTGATTGAATCGAACAGCACCATAGACATTGCTCTCACCTTGTTGAAACTGAGTAGTTTGCGTTTGCGTTTTATCTTTTACTTTTTTGTTCCACCTATAATGCTATTGCCTATGACGAAGCTTGCACCTAATACTTTACAATGTAAGCAACTTTGGTAATGATATACATACCCAATGTACTATAGCCTATACTCACATAGTATGACACTTTAATTCACCATGTACTAACAAGCTATTACTGTACTGTATCACTTGTTAACACACCATAACAACACCAGTGTCGCTAGTTTAGCACAGTGAAGCACCGATTATTTCAGGAGAATTTATAATGTAATCTAACACCAGTATGTGACTAGCTGAAAATCCACTATGTTTTATGCCTGTATTATACTAGATCAGCTAAACATTCACAGCTCAACATTGACAGCTAGGCTAGCTACTGCTGATGAATCTTGTTAAACATTAATGCTAAACAAGTAAATGTAAAATGGTGCACGTCAACTTGATACCCCATTGTAACGTGTCACATTAATGCATGAGGATTGACGTCAATCTCACTTAACGTGATCATCATATAAAGACAGGAAAGCTCAACTTTAACCTATTGTCTATCCACTGTCTACTTTTGCTCTCATGAAACTTAAAAATTGTGCTGAATATTCATAAGCCATGTTTTGATTGTTATGCCAATTACTGCTTACGACTGCTATCGTGGCTGAGTAAGCCTATTGTTACACCATGCACAACAAAAATAAAGAATTACAAAAACTTGAACACATTTTATTATGCATTTTTTTTCCCACTGGGGATATATCTAAAAATGTCTTGTAGAAGCTGCAGTTCTCTTGTCTGCAGCCTTTGCAAACCCTCCCCTTCCAGCCCCTCCCAGACTTTCTGTGGCTGTCCAATCACAGACTCCCAATGCAGCTCAATGAGAAGTCTTTGCAAGGCAGGTGCTCTGGGCAATTGCTGCCTCTTGAGTTTATCTCCACTGAGCTAAACAACCAGGAAGTAACAGCCAGGGTGGGTGTCACAAGGTTAAATTATAAAAGTGCCAATTTCTATTGAAATCTACACTCTCTTCACACATAATGTAATTTAGCAAGCTTAAATGCTTTAGGCTGGTGTAGTGTCCCTTTAAAATAATTTACAAAACCTAGTCCAGTCTGATTTTAAATGAAAACTATAAAAAAAAACTTAAAATGTGCAGGACGTGACGATAGGACCATACAATCTCTGCCTTACCGGACATGGCTTAGTCTGTAATGATATTTTGCTTCAAGTTGTCACAATGCGTTCATGAAGTGTAAAATGAGGAAACCACTTGCTTTTTATAGCAAAGGTCCCTGGCCCGCCCACAGTGAGAAATAATGTATTTTGTCACCATGACATAGGAAATAACTAAAGAGCATTCAGTTCAAGGTGTGGTAATTGCTCAGAGTTAATATTATACTTTAAATAACTCGCTTGCCTAACAAAAACATTCATTCACTTATGAGATTTTCTTCCAGGAACTGATTCCTGAAAAGCAAGATTCAATGAAAACTCGTAATCTGACAGACACTTTCTAGACTATATGTCCCTTAACCTTACAGTGGTAATTATTGCAATAATTACCTCTGAGGGTTAACTCCTCCTCTTGTGGCTGCCTACCAGACAGCCACTAGAGGGACTTCCTGGATTAAAAAAGACCTTTAGTCTGTTATCTGACGCTGGATGTCCTCATGCTCTGCCGGACTGGGAAAAAAATTCGGCCTGGGCATTTTTTTATCTCAGGGGCCCACTAAGAAGGGGGCAGGGCAGAGAGGGTGTGTTTTGTCATCACTAATGACAAACACGCCCCCTCTCAAAGTGAGCGTGTTGATTCAATGCTCTTCCAGGGCAGACCATGCACAGAGCTCTGCTGAAGAGCTCTAGCATGAGAAATAGGCCCTGTATTTGTTCTGCGCAATGCAAGCAAAATTAATAACATGCTTGCACTGTGTTTCCTTGCAACTTGTCTCTGGTGTCTCTATAAATGGATACCAGGAGACAAAAGGCCAGGAAAGAGTATTGTGCATGTGTTTGGAGCCTGCTTGTGGTATTGTGTGTGTGTAAAGTGAGCTGATTGTGGTGTGGTATTGTGTAATAAGGTCGGTTTTAGTTGTGTTGTGTTTTTGGTGTAATGTGATGCATATGTGGCTATGGGCTGTAGAGAATGTGTGTATTGGGGATGTAGCAAGTGTGTGCATACAGGCAATAGTGTGTGTATAGAGATTGTGTGTTTAGGGGTGTAGTATGTGTTTGCTTACAAGGAATCTAGTGTGTGTATAGGGTATTCAGACTGTGTATGTTAGGAGTGTAGTGTGTGTGCATATATATATATATATATGAATCTAGTGTGTGTTTTAAGGACCCAGAATGTGTATAGAAGATCTAGTGAGTGTGTGTATATAACGGATTTAGACTGTATATAGGGATCTAATGTGTGTATGTGTGTAGATGATCCAGAGTTGTGTAAGGGATCTAGTGTGTGTCTGGAATGTAATGTGTTTAGGGGTGCAGTATTTGTGTGATGGGTGCTGTGTGTGTATATATATATATATATATATAATTATAAAAATATGTTTGGAAGTATTGTGTATGTGTGTGGTGCAGTGTGTTGGAGGGGGTTTTGTGTTTATGTGAAGGGTGCAGTGGAGGTGTGTGAGGGTGTAGTGTGTATGTGAGGGGTGCAGTATGTGTGTGTGATGGATGCTGTGTGTGAGGGTGCTGTGTGCGATTTGTGTGTGGGTGCTGTGTGTGAGGGTGCTGTGGGTGATTTGTGCTGTATGTGATTTGTGTGTGGGTGCGGTGTGTGATTTGTGTGAGGGTGCTGTGTGTAATGGTGCTGTGTGTCAGGGTGCTGTGGGTGATTTGTGTGTGTGGGTGCTGTGTATGATGTGTGTGAGGGTGCTGTGTGTGATTTGTGTGTGTGGGTGCTGTGTGTTATTGTGCTGTGTGTGTGGGGGTGATTTGTGTGTGTGGGTGCTGTGTATGATGTGTGTGAGAGTGCTGACTGTGGGTGCTGTGTGTGATTTGTGTGAGAGTGCTGAGTGTGATGTGTGTGAGGGTGTTGTGTGTGAGAGTGCTGTGTATGTGTGTGAGGGTGCTGTGTGTGAGAGTGCTGTGCGTGATTTGTGTGTGTGGGTGCTGTGTGTTATTGTGCTGTGTGTGTGGGGGTGCTGTGTGTGATTGTGCTGTGTGTGTGAGTGCTGTGCATGATGTGTGGGAGGGTTGAGTGTGATGTGTGTGAGAGTGCTGTGTATAAATGTTAGAAGGGATTGTGTGTTGGGGTGGGGGGTAAAAAACAAACATATAAAAATCGAAGCAGGCGTTATATTCCCCCTCCCTTCTGTTCCTTAGCCTGGGAGGGGGGGACCAGCACACCGATACCTGGGAGAGGGGGGGGTTGTGGGGGAGGACCGGCACTCTAACACCATCCCTGGTGGTCCTAGTGGTGAGTGAACTCTAGCCTGCGTGGCTACCCCCCGATTCTCGCGAGAGGAACCCGGCGGAGCTGCAAGATAGAGCTCCGTTGGGTCCTCTTCTCCCTCCCCAGCCGCATGTCTATTCAACTGGGCCGGTGAGGGAGATCTTTAATCTCCTCACAGGCCCGTTCTGAAAGCATTGGGGCCGGTTCACGGATAGTGCCGGCCCTGCATAGACTGGCAGGGGATGTCCTGTAACCTCCCCTGCCGACCTTGGCCCATGGCCACCGCGGCCCACCGGGCATTTGCCAGTCCGGGCATGCCTACAGGAAAGCCTTGAACAACGCTTTCCTATGGGGAAATCCTAATACGAGCACGGCCATTGCCACGCATGCGCATTAGGTCTACCCACAGGCTGATGAGGGAGGAATGTGGGTGGAGACTGACCCAGTGCCAAGGATTCAGGTAAGTGACTGAAGGGGTTTTAACCTTTCAGCCGCGCGGGAGGGGGGCAATGCAGGATTCTACAAACGGCTTTGTTTTCCTGGCACTATAGAATCCCTTTAAACTCAGCGTCTAGTATAGGCAGATATTGGCACGCCTCACCTCACTTCTTAATACATATATGTTTTCTGATTTTCATCTAACTTTTTGTATGTTTACATAATAATGTGAAGAGTCATTTCCTGATGCTACAACAGTCAGTATCACTTGATGAAATTTTATATTTTCTTCTTTTTTCTGCAGAGTAATCAAAAAAACCAAGCGGAGCAGATATGGACATTGAAGTTGAAAAGGGCAAGGATCAATTCATCTGGAATTGGTCATCAGAACAAAAATCCTGCTGCCCAAGTGTCGGCGTTATTAGTTATTCTTTGTATTTTTTATTTTAATATGACAGCTATAAAGGGTACAGGATTGTGAAGTGGGAGCCGGCCACTTGGAGGTTCTGGAGACTTTAGAACAAACAAGACCAAAGGTGGGGTTTCCAGAGCCCTGAGTGAATCCTGCAATGTTTCCTCTTAATATAAAATTCACCATTGTGTATCTTTGACAGAATGTGATTATTTTAATTTCCTGGATTGCCTCAGATCAGTTGGAGTTGCAATCCAGTCTTGAAAGGGATACCACAGACCACTAATGCAGGTTCGCTTACTGAATTGCGTGAATAGTGTATCTTTTTCATTTTACAAAAATGTGCAGATTTTTAATAGACGCACTTTTATAAATTAACTTTGTCGCACCCCTCCCCACCGCAGATGTCAGTCAGACACCCGTCCTGTTACTTCCTGGTTTGTTTAGCTCAGTGGAGCTAAACTCAAGAGACAGCAATTGCCCAGAGCACCTGCCTTGTAAAGACTTCTCATTGAGCTGCAGTGGGAGTCTGTGATTGGACAGCCACAGAAAGACTGGACGGGATTAGAAGGGGAGGGCTTGCAAAGGCAACAGAGAAGAGAACTATAGCTTTTACAAGCTGTTTTTAGATAGAACCCCAATAAAATATTAACTTTGAATTTACAATTAACTCACAAATTTTTTTTCTTCCATTTAATTCGATATAAATAAATGCGTTTTGTCTGCGTTTGGCCAGCATTAAGAGCTCCAGCACTTTTATCTATTGTTTTATTAAGAAACGGGAGAGCAACTTTTAATCTCTCTGTTATTATAACGAGATCTATGTGTATAAAAGAAGGATATTGCATGTATAGAGCAAGCATACTACGGCCCATGTGTACATTAGAAGCACTAGGGAGGAGTCCCTCATATAATGATTTCTGGACGGTAAGCCCTTATTGTTTGGGGCTGAGTCACAGTGAATATTGATATTGCTGAATCATTCTTTACCTGTTGGTTCTGCAGCCTCGCACTGCACGTTTGTTCTGGTTTCAGCCAGGATTTGTACGCTAACAGCATTAACGCAGTGTTCGATGTGCACCACCTGAAATGATTTCTTGTCGGTCAGTCAGCCATCATTGAGTCCAGTTGGACATATCATGTGACACAGCTTATTGTGTAATAGTGACACAAGCCATAGCCTGGCCCTGTGAACAGATTTTACAGCAATAATTAAGAAGAGACGTTAACCAGCAGGAAAAAGGCAGTGGCAGCCAAGTGCGTCACCAATGTTAAAACAGTCGGCATTATTTTATGGCCGAAAATTCATAACATTTCAAATGTATTCAGGTTATTCATTAAAGGGATAAGTTCATTTTCACTTTAAGGCCAACGTGAAAGCATAGCCGGTTTAGAAGGGTTGTCCAGCTGGACTCTCTTACTTTTAAATTTGAATTCTCACTTTGTTGATTAACTCCGTCATTTCATAGAGGTTTAATAGTCAGCTAACCTTCTCAGGCCCAATAACAGCCAAACTATCCCTGCTTCAGAAGCGATAATAAATTTACATTGATCACCGCAAATAACGAACGTGATCTCCACCCAACACAGTGATTTATGGTTGAAAAATTAGGCACATTCATCAAGAAAATATATTTCAGCATTTATTTATTTCGGTTCTGTTACTTGATTAACCTTTCTGGGTATATTCGCCGTCCTGACCTAGAATTTGTATTATGAAAATGATTGAACTGGGACCCCGAGTTTTATCCGATCGATGTCTGCACAAAGCTTGAGGTTTTATCCCTGGTAGGGTCTGACTGTGCTGCCATGGGTATTTGCATGACAGACTCTGCTTTAGCTGTGGTTGTTAAGATATTTTACAGTCAAATACAATATGAACAAACATGGATAAGAGCACAATACACATTAATGTTTCTCATCTAGTGCTGACCTCGATCCAGACAATGTTATTTTAGAATATAAACATGCCTTACGTGCAGCAGCTCTAAAACAAATTTGACAAATCAGTCAGGAATTTTTAATTTTTTTTTAAAGGAGAAAATGTGTA